AATTTACTGCCTCAACAACATCCGAAGGCAACTCATTCCAGAGCCCAACCACCCTACTAGAAAAATAAAACTGTCTTAGCTGAAGATGACTCCTACCTTGTCAAAATTTATATTTGTGTCCCCTAGTCCTACTATTTTCACTGTTAAATATGAAAAAAGATTATGCATCACCACTATCAATTCCCTTTACAATCTTAATCACCTCAATCAGATCACCCCTAACTCTTCTTTTTTCAAGAGAAAACAATTTGAGAGATTTCAGCCTCTCTTCTTATTACAACCCCTACATCCCAGGCACCATTCTAGTAACCATTCTCTGAACCCTTTCCAATAATTCAATGTCTTTCATAAGGAAAGGAGCCCAAGACTGAACCCAATATTCCAAAAGTGGCCTAACCAGTGGCCTATACAATGAAATCACAACCTCTTTAGACTTCTATTCAATATTTCTGTAGATACAACCTAACATCTTATTTGCCCTAAAACGAGCAACAGCACACTGCTTGGATGGCTTTACAGACTCATCAACTATTACTATTTGTTTACCCAACTCACTAAATGATCTAAATCCTTTTGTAAATCAGCAGTATCCTCTTCACAGCTAGCAACACCCAAGACCTTAATATCATCTACAAATTTAAGTAACTTATTGACCACTCCTTCATCTATATCATTGATGTAAATCAAAACAAGCAAAGGTTCAAAGACTGAATTTTGAAGTGCCCACTTGTGATGTTAATCTAGTTTGACTGAACTCCATTACAGTTAAGAACATAGGAAAAATCAAGATGACAAAAAGTAAGTTGGCTGATCGATTTCACTCCTCATTCTCAAGAAACTGAAAAAAATATATACAATTCAACCAAAGTATAAACCTTCATATCCACAAACCTATCCAATAAAATTTTTAGATTATTCAAACTAGGTGTAAATACATTATCATGCAAACTACTAAACAGGCTTGTAACTCTAACTGAAGAAAATGTCTGCTTCTAAACTTATCATCTCTAATATTCAAATTTGTATATCTAACTTTCTCATTCCACCATTCAAACAAACCACCCTTAGGAAACTGTTCATACCTTTAACAATACTGAAACCAGTCAGACTGTCCATACCTCCAACAATACTGAAAACAGGTAGACTCTCCATACCTCCAACAATACTGAAAACAGGTAGACTCTCCATACCTTTAACAATACTGAAAACAGTCAAGACACTCCATACTTTTAACAATACTGAAACCAGTCAGACTCTCCATACCTTTAACAATACTGAAACCAGTCAGACTTTCCATACCTCTAACAATACTGAAACCAGTCAGACTGTCCATACCTCTAACAATATTGAAACCTGTCAGACTCTCCATACCTCTAACAATACTGAAACCAGTCAGACTTTCCATACCTCTAACAATACTGAAACCAGTCAGACTGTCCATACCTCTAACAATATTGAAACCTGTCAGACTCTCCATACCTCTAACAATACTGAAACCAGTCAGACTTTCCATACCTCTAACAATACTGAAACCAGTCAGGTATGGAGAGTCTGACTGGTTTCAGTATTGTTAAAGGTATGGAGAGTCTGACTGTTTCAGTATTGTTAAAGGTATGGAGAGTCTCTAACAATACTGAAACCTGTCAGACTCTCCATACATTTAACAATAGTGACACCTGTCAGACTCTTCATACTTCTAACAATGGTGAAAACTGTCAGACTCTTCATACTTCTAACAATGGTGAAAACTGTCAGACTCTTCATACTTCTAACAATGGTGAAAACTATCAGATTCTTCATACTTCTAACAATGGTGAAAACTATCAGATTCTTCATACTTCTAACAATGGTGAAAACTATCAGACTCTTCATACTTCTAACAATGGTGAAAACTGTCAGACTCTTCATACTTCTAACAATGGTGAAAACTGTCAGACTCTTCATACTTCTAACAATGGTGAAAACTGTCAGACTCTTCATACTTCTAACAATGGTGAAAACTGTCTCTCTTAAATTCTTATACATACACTCCAGGGGATACAAAGCCAAGATTCTTAAAGTTTCCAACAACTTAAATATCTTAACAGGGCATCATACTTGTAACCCATGTTTTCCACTCTCATCAATCTGTTGATTGTTCTTCCTGTACAAGAAAACCTGAACTAATTATAGTAGCCTCAAAGAGGCCTCATTAAAATCTACCCAAACCTTCTTGTTTTTAAATTTAAAAACAAACCAACTATAATTGCAGAGGATTTTGAAATTTTGTCAACTATAACAACTATATCTTTTTCTATAACATCATTATTCCCCTAATACAAGAAATATTTTCAAATTGTCCATATCCCAAGTGTATATCTATATTTTTCAATACTAAAACTCATCGGTGAAACTTTAGCTTGTGGTCTACAAAGATATTTACACTATAGCATGCAATCTACACAGATACCATCATCATCACCATTTTAACTTTCGTTTATTTGCAATTGGCGCCATCTATTATAAATAACAATTTTAAACTAATTAAGTATAAAATATCATTACATAATGTTTGGGGGGAAAATATAATCGGAATGAAATAAATTACAACAATCAAAACTAGTACAATTATGAGTTTATATGACATCAATTAAATGTAACTTTCACAACCATACAAGTTTACATGACATCAACTAAATGTAACTTTCACAACCATACAATTTTACATGACATCAACTAAATGTATCTTTCACAACCATACAACAAGTTTACATGACATCAATTAAATGTAACTTTCACAACCATACAAGTTTATATGACATCAATTAAATGTAACTTTCACAACCATACAACAAGTTTACATGATATTAATTAAATGTAACTTTCACAACCATACAAAAAGTTTACATGACATCAATTAAATGTAACTTTCACAACCATACAAGTTTATATGACATCAATTAAATGTAACTTTCACAACCATACAACAAGTTTACATGATATTAATTAAATGTAACTTTCACAACCATACAACAAGTTTAC